AAATCACACTATTTGGAAACACTGTGTAAGAAGAAGAGATACCTTTTCATTCCAGTGGTGTTTCAGAGCACCCAGTCTGTGGTTCTTGCTGTTTCCATGCTGTTTTCAAAATCTTCTAGTGTAGAGCAAGCCAGGGCATGGGTGGATGGGAGTTCTTCCTCATGCTTGTTCCTCCAGTTTGAGAAAGATTCACTCATGCCTAATTCATCCCAAAGACTGGTAAGGTTTAGTTTTCTCCTTGTGATTGTAAGTTAGCTCAAAATTCATGACTTAGTAGTTGCCCACCTTTTCTTCGATCTATAGATTTCTGTCTTCTCTTGGACTTTCCACATGAAGTCTTGCACTATTAAAAGGGAAAGAATATATTGTTTATCTTCCTCCTGACTCCTCAAGAGAATTGGTCAGTCTTATATGAACCACTGATGTTGGATAAGATTTCAAGCATCATTCATGCCTAAACTCTGCAATTCAGATTGTTTTTTCCTGCAGAGAAGTGTTAGATTGGAGGATCTGGGGGTTTTTTTCACCATAGAAATAACATCTGTTTCCTCCTGCATTATTGCAACACATGAAGATGACTGGTGGAACAGGCAGGTAGCTTGTTTTGATATCATATCCTTCATAAATAGTGATGAACTGGGGATCAGTATAGAGAGAAAAAGGGATCTTTTGCAAGTTAAACTTGCAAAATTGCTTAAAATCTGTTCTAAAGATGGACTTTCTGTCGAGAGAATCTTCTCAGTTCAGTAACTCAGGAAGAACTTTGACTAGGGTAGTAGATAGAGGGTGCTTTTTGAGATATTTTAGGTCTCATTGTAAATTTCCCAAATGTAGCTAAGTTGTATTTTTCTGTTGTGGTTTATTTGGTTCAGCTGCATACTGCTGCCATAAACTTATTGCATATTATTTAGCTGACTAAACAGACTTGTAGATGGAGGCTTGAATTCCCAAAATAAAATAAATGGGAGATGAACAAAGGTTGGAAAACCCCAAATAAGTGTATCAAAATAATCGATGCTTATTTAGGAGAAGGTAAATTGGTTTCAAGTCTTGTATTTGCCTTGGAGCGGTTGTTTACAGTCATGGCAGTCTTAGAAGGATCCTGTGAACATTGTTTGTTTATTTGTTCCCCTCTCCAATTTGAAAATCTCTAAGACTATAGAATATTTTTCCTCTGTCTTCAGTAATGTTTTATGTCTTTTGTTTTTAATGAATTAGAGAGTTAAAATGAACAAAATCATTCCACTGACAT